CCCCCCCCCCCCCCCCCACAATGACAGAACCAAGCGACTTCACCGACGAGGAACGGGCCCTCTTTTGACCGTCTCAACATTGGGAAAGCCGGCGGACTTCCCTTGCCCTCGTTTATTCGCCCCAGCGAGGTGGTCGCACAGGCGCGTCCCTTGGCGGACGCCATCTTCCAGGACTGGGCCGCCCTCCAAGCGCTGGTGACGCCCCACGAGTCTCTCCTGCATGACCGCTGGAAGAGTCTGAAGAAGCGCAAGCGGCGGGACCTGATACAAGAGGCGTGGACGGCGGCGGCAGCGGCTGTGTCGTCCGTCGACGACGATGGCGACGGCGACGGCGACGGCAAACCCACGGCGCTCCCGCTCCCGCACCGCCCCGACCTCGTCGCCTGGCGCCGCCGCGAGCGCGAAAAGGGGCAGCAGCTCAAGGATGGCAGTGCCGGTGGCGGTGGTGGTGGCAGCAGCAGCTCCTTTGCGGCGCCCGAAAACTTGGTCACGCTGCTCGACTGGACGGCCGACGACCGCGCCGCCTTTCTGTGGCCGCACCTGTCGTTGCAGGACCTGGCGCTGCGGCCGTCGAGCACCCGCGCGCTCTGGCTGCTGGCCACGTCGCGCGCCGCCGCGCCGCCCGAGGCGTTTGCCGCCGCCGACCTGGCCACCACGCGCCTGGGCAAAGCCTGCCTGGCGCTGCTGCCGCGGTACCTCAACCAGTACTCGATGCTGTTCGCCGGGCGCACGTCGCCGGCGACCTATGGCCAGCTGTACACGTGGGCCGAGCTGGAGGCGCTGACGGCCGACCAGACGGAGGCGCCCGGCAGCGACTCGTTTGCCACGCGCGGGACGCACCCGGGCGAGGGCCTGTGGATCTTGACCGTCCAGGCGCGGCTCTACCGGTTTCTGGTGCTTGCCGTGCGGGCCATCCTGGGCGCCGTGGCGGACGGCCACGGCGAGGTCTCGGAAAAGGAGAGGGACAAGGACAAGGACAACGACACAGCGCCGAATGGAAAGAACGGGCACGCCGAACCGGCAGAAACGTCTGTCCTCGACACGCCCGCGTACGTCGACCAGCCCCTGCGGTCCCTCGAGACGCCCTACCGCGTGCCGCCGACGTCGCTCGACACGCAGCACCTGCAGGCCCTGCTGGACACGACGAATGCCAAGGTCTGGGAGGCCGAGGACCACGTGTGGGCGCTGCGCACCGACCCGGCGTACCTGCGCGCGACGCTGCGGGACTGGGCGCTGCACCGCAAAGAGCGGCTGACGACGACCGACGGCGTGGCGCCCGCCGAGGCGGAGTCTGCGTCGGTGTCGCCGACGGTCGTCGATGCCTGTCTGCGCCGCGCGCTGGAGCAGGCCGAGACGTGGAACCTGGTGTACAGCAAGGTGCACCTGCTGGCGCAGCAGATGGAGAAGCACGCCGCGGCGGTGGCCGCGGCGCAGGCGGGGCGCGATGCCGGCCGGCTGCCGCGCGACGTCTTGCTGTCCTTTTACGCCCTCTACTACCACATCCGCAGCTTCGAGAACGAGCCCGTCGGGCTGCTGCAGACGGGCGCCTTTTCGGCCCCGTCCGTGCGGCGGCACTACCGCCTGGAGCGGGACGTGGAGGCGGACGACGGCAAGACGCACGTGGTGGCCGCCGAGGGGGCAGACGCACCGCCCCTGGTCGGCGACGAAAGCGACGGCCATGCCGCGACGGCCGGCCGCGACAGCGGCCAGCCCGTCGCCGCGGCCCTCTGGTCGCTGACGGGTCTCCAGGACGACGCGACGCGGCAGCTGTTTGGCCGCCAGACGCTGCTCGACGAGCTCGAGGCCGCGTCGCGCGCCACGGGCCTCCTGTCGGCCTGGACGGCGGACCAGGTGGCCACCGTCGCGCTGTATGCCCGCTGCACGCTGCTGCTGGACGCGTTCCAGCCGTGGGCGGCCGCGTACGACCAGACCGTGCAGCAGGACACGGAGGTGCGCGACATTCTCGTCATGGACTTCCACATGTCCATGGGCCGCCTGCGGGCGCTGCTCGAGCACGGGCTGGACATCGCCGCGCCGTCGTTTGTGGGCCGCGACGCGGCCGCCACCACCGACAAGGATGCGGGCGAGCTCGCCATTTTCTGGGCCACCGTCTACCAGACGCTCGACGCCAACAAGGCACTCACGCCGCGGCTCCGCGACATGCTGACGCGCGAGGACGACAAGTACGACAAGGCCTTGTTTGGATCCGAGTCGGGGTCGGGGTCGGGGTCCGGCGTGGACCGCCGTCTGGTCGACCGGCGCGCGGCGCGCGTCTTTCGCGCTCTCTTCCCCCCGTCCGACGGCAAAGGCGGCACCGCGACGCCTGCCACGCTCACGTGGCCAGATGTGGTGCACGCCCTTCAGGCGGCTGGGTTCACTGCCGAGCGGCTGTACGGGTCCGCGTGGCTGTTTGTGCCGGGTCCCGTGGCGAAAATGGCGGCCATCGTGGCGACGGCCAAAGGCGCCGGGCGCCGGGGTGCCGACAAGAACAAGTCGACGACGCCGCGGCCCAGCCTCTTCAGGGCGCCTGTGTCGGCCGACAGCGACGCTCCCCCGAAATTGGCGCCGGCGGACGTGCGGTGGATTGGCAAGCGGCTGCAGAGGGCGTATGGCTGGAACGCGATGACATTTGCGGCGGAGGGTGCGTAGCGCAGAGAGGGCGGAAGACAAATGAACGAGAATAATATGAAAAAGAGAAAACAAGGCCAAAAAAAGAACACAAAAAAGAGTGTATATAGTAGTCTATTGCTTTTGAACCGGATTTGAATATGTAAACAAGACAAGACAAAACGTGAACAAGAACAAAAAAAGAGAAATAACGCAGCACTTGCACCAAACGCCGTCGTGGATGCGAACATGTGAGCATGGAGCGAAAGACAACAATACACAACAGTAAACAACAAGACAACATCCTGCCACCCTTATGCAAACGCCCCCACGAGAGCCATCAGCGTGGCGCCGGCCACGACGGACACGAACGCCTGCGTCCGCCGGCGGCCGTGCAGCGTCGTGTAGCTCTTTTCCGTCAAAAAGTCCTCGGCCAGCAGCTGTACGAGGCCGGCAAACAGCAGCAGGCCGCTCGATATGGCGTTCATGATGCCGACCATGAGCAGGCCCGTCTGGCTCATGGGGTCGTAGAGGTTGTGCACGAGCAGGCCAATGGCCTGGCCCAGGGGCGTGGTGCCGCCGTAGGCCAGGACCATGAGCCAGGGCTGGTAGGAGGCGCGGGGGAAGTGGATGGCGGCGATGCGGCTGCCGAGGGCCAGGCCCTCGAAGCACTGGTGGAAGGCGATGGCGACGAGAAAAACGACAAAGGCGGGGCCCGTGGCGACGCTGAGGGCCATGCCGATGAAGACGCTGTGGAACAGGATGCCGGCCTCCAGGAGCATGCACTGCAGCATGAGCCGCTTCTGCTCCTCGGCGTCGGGGCGGTGGGGCGCGATACCTTCGCCTTGGTTCTGGCCGTGGCCGGCCGTGGTCGTGGCCGGGTCGAGCTCGTCGAGGTGCAGGGCGAGGTCGAGCGACCCGTCGTCGCCGTCGTCGCTGCCGGTGCCATCCCGGCCGTCCTGGGAGCGCGTCGTCTTCCGATAGCCGTTTCCCATTCCATGTCCATGTCCATGTCCATTTCCACTGCCGTTGCCGTTGCCGTTGACAGGCGGCACGGGCGACGACTCTGGCAGGGGCGACGCGCCCGCCATCAGGCCCTCGCCCTCGCCCTCGCCCTCGCCCTCGCTGGCCACGACGTCCAAGGCAATGTTGTCGGGCCGGTAGCTCGCGCCGCGGCGCGCAGCCAGGCCGGACCCGACCGTCGTCGACGAGCTGCGGGCGCGTTGGCCAGAGGGCCGCTGGTGTTCGTCGCTGTCCTCGGTGTCGACCTCCTCCCACATGTGCGCGTGCGAGTGCGCGTGGCCGGCGCCGCGGGTCGTCAGGTACGACTCGAGCCCGACGACGCCAATGGCAAAGACCATGGCGATGAGGCCCGCGAGGGGCGTGTAGCCCTGGCTGAAAAAGGGCGGGAGGCACGGGTCGGTGAGGGAGACAAAGGCGGTCGGCAGCAGGTGCACAAAGGCGGTGGCGATGAGGACGCCGGTGCCAAAGTGCTGCGACAGGAAGACGACGTTGGACGGGCGCATGCCGCTGGCGCGCCGGCTGAACAGGGGGAAGCCGCACGAGAGGACGCTGATGGCGAGGATCAGAAAGAGGGCGAAGACGTGCAGACCCGTCTCGTAGTTGCCGCGCTTGCCCGAGCCGCACTCGGGCCGCGGTGCATCGCTGTCGGCACTGCTGCTGCCGCCGTGGCGGCGCGCGAGCTCGGCACGGAGAACGTGTGTCGAGAGGGTGGAGAAGTCCATGGTGGACGTGGTTGGTGATGGGTGAAGTTGGAGGTGACGATGCCGTCGTCGGAAAGTGATGTCAAGGAGGACAGAAGACAGTGGGCGACCGTGGACGAATAGGGGCTAGCGCGAATGGCCCCGACCAGGGAGCTTTAGTGGGTTTGGGGGACTCGGCAGCACGCTTTAGTGGGCGGGCGAGACACTACGGCGTGTACTTCTGTACTCTTAGGGCGCTTAGCGCCGGGAGGCGCGGAGGTGTGCTAGAAGGCCCTTCGTCGCTCGTTACGGATGAGCCGTGTGAATATGCAAGATTATGTAAAAGTGTGGTGTCTCATTACTATTTACACCGCCTACTTTGCATCGACACACGCTTGTTCAAATAGCTCATCATCCCAACACCGGGTCCCTAAGCCTCCGCTTTGTTTTGTCTTTCGGCGTTCTCACAGCCTTGCCGTCGGACCGCCTGTTCGTCTACACTTTCGGAATGGCCGTCGCCCACGGAAAGGCCGTCGTCATCGGCGACCCGTACGTCCCCAGATTGTGGTAGTCGTGCGTCGCCGTCGCGTTGAAGAAAATCGTCTCGACAAACGGCAGCACGGCCGTGAACCCGCTCATGTCGCAGTGCCCGCCGCTGCGCACGCTCATGCCGATCCTGTCGCCGACGCCGAGCCAGTCGTACACCGCCTTGGCGGCCGGGTAGACGACGACCGCCGTGGCCTTGCTGTTGGTGAACGGGTCGCCCGTGCCCTGGTCGATGACGAGCGCGCGCGGCGCCAGGGCCGCGCCGATGGTGTGGGCGTCGTAGGGCAGGCGTTCGGCATGGTGGACAAACGTGCCCAGCGCCGCGTCGCTCCACCAGCCGGCGCCGGCCTTGCTGTTCTCGAGCGTCTCGTCCTGGCCGCTCATGGCGTGGTAGCGGTAGGGCCCCATGCCCTGGACGCCCGAGGACATGGGCATCGTGAGCGTGATGCGGGCGTCCAAGAGGCCCGCGGCCAGGGCGCCTTTCCCGAGGCGCGAGCAGCCCGCGACGCCGACGCGCGTCGGGTCGATTTCCGGCGCCGTCTGGTTCAGCGCGTCCAGCGTGCGGTGGAACCCCCACGCCCAGGCCGTCAGGACGCCAATGTCGCGGCCCTGGTAGACGTCCCAGAAGGCGCCCGTCTTGCTGCTGCTGTCGGCGGCGACGCTCGTGTAGTCGAAGCCGACGACGGCAATGCCGGCCGCCAGGTACGGCGCGCTCTGCATGCCGCCGATGTTGATGATGACCGGGGCCGGCTTGGACGGGGCGGCGTTCGTCGGAAGCGCGAGGCTGGCCTTGAACTGGCCCGTCTTGCCACCGGCCGTCACCGAAATACTGACCGTCGTGCCCGACCGCGTGGCCGTCACTGTTTCTTGCGAGTGGTCCGGGTAGACGCCGTACTGGTAGTGCTGGAGCAGCTGCAGGATCTCGGGCCGGCGGCACTTGTACCACTCCTCGGGCGTTTGGACGCGGTGCCGACCCCTGCCGCCGAGGACGTCCGGCAACGAGAAGCCCTCGCTGTCGATGGCGGTGTATGCCAGCGGCAAGAATGGGTCGGGCAGCGTAGGCTGGTCAGGGAGTTGTTCGTAGGTGGGAAACGGTGAAGGGATGGGGGCACAGGCGACGTCGGCGCGTGCCACACCAGCCAGGAGCAGGGGAAGCAGGGGAAGCACGGCAAGGCGGCAAGGCGGCATGATGACGTACATGGCGACACGAGACAAAACGACTGACGACGATACGGAGAGACGATGTGGGATGTTACTGAGATGTAAAGTGTGTTTTTATCTCTTTTACTCTTTTTATTCTCGGCCTTTTTGTATATGTTTTATTCCCTTTTTATTCTTTTTATTCTTTTTATTCTTTTTATTCTTTTTATTCTTTTTATTCTTTTTATTCTTTTTATTCTTTTTATTCTTTTTATTCTTTTTATTCTTTTTATTCTTTTTCTCTATTTTCGTTCCTTTTCCTCCTCCGCCGTTCGCCCGTGATTGTTGATTTTCCACGAATTGGGACAAGCCACTGTGTAAGCAAATACTCGTCATGAATGCTCTCGTTGTGTTCCTTGCCTTACAATTTCGTTTTGCCAGAAGGCCGTATTTGGTAATATTCCGTGTCATATGCTCTCCTCTCTTCACGGTTAAAGCAGATACGTCGGCTGGCTTCTGCCGACGTTGGCCACGCTCACAGCCTTGGACAATATCCGGACATTCCTATTCCTCGGGAAAGGGTAGCATTTAGTCGTATGCAACTTGAAATGGATGACTTGGACGTGAAAAGTATACGGAATAGCATGACATGATCAATAATGCTTAGCTATCAGCTGTCTTCACCCTTTGCCCATCCTCGTTCGGCTTGCCCCCTACGACGTCCCCGGCAACAACACCAGCCGCTTCTTCCGCGCCTCGTCCGTGTCCCAGACGCGCGCGACCTCGCTCAGCGGGTACGGCACCACATCCGCGGGCTTGGGCAGGCTGGCCGCCATGGCCACAATGGCCGGCAGCTCCTTGCCGGCCGCGGCCAGCGTGTAGCTCCCCGGCGCCGCGCCGCTGAGCGTCAGGTTCTTGGCCCGCAGCGTCTGGGCACTGAGCGCGAGGGTCTCCTCCTGGGCCGTCGTGCCAATGTTGACGTACTGCGTCACCGCCGCGCCCGGCTGCAGGTTGTTGAGCACCGTGGCCGCCTGCGCGCCCCAGACGTAGTCCAGGACGACGTCGACGTGGCCCAGCGCGCGCGTCGCCGCCGCCAGGGTCGCGTCGTCGAGCACCAGGTACGCGTCCAGGGCCTTGTCGGCGACCAGCGCCTGGAGCGGCGCCTCGCGGCGGCCGGCGCCCACGACGGTGCCGGCGCCAAACTGGCGCGCCACGTCGACGGCCGCGCGGCCGCTCGTGCCCGTGACGCCCAGGATCAGCACGGAGAAGGCCTCGGGCAGCACGTCCCGGTTGACGCGTGCCGCCAGCGACATCCACGACGACTGCACCGGGTTGGCCAGCGCCGCGACGGTCACGGGATCGGCCCCGGCGGGCAGGGGCACCAGCCGCGCCTTGTCGACGTTGGCATACTCGGCAAACAGGGGCGCGGCAAAGGTGCCGACGTAGTACACCTGCCCCGTGGCCTCGTCGACCGCGACGCCGTCCGACGAGGGGTCCAGAGGCGCCGACGTGGCGGAAAAGTGCGCGCCCTTGGCGCGCATCTGCACGAGGCGGTGGACGGCCGCGGCGAGGACCTTGAGGCGGATCTGGTTGCCAGTGGGCGCAGGGAGGTCGGGGCCCTCGAGGTACTGGGGCGGTTGGCCAAAGGCCTGGACCTGGGCGTAGTGCATGGTAGCTGGCGACGACAAACAAAACGTTGGAAGAGGCAGACGAGGAATCGGAGGAGTGGATCACCACGTGCGGATGGTGGATGGCATACGATGGGCTGTGTGAACAGAAAACAGCCAACTATCAATTGGTCTATTGGTGTTGTTGATGTTGTGTGCGTCTTTTGTCCATCAATTCTTCAGCGGCGGCGAGACGTCTTTATATCTCAAGTACCTGCTGGCTCGTCAAATGATGTTGGCTCCCTTCTGTCCGCTTGCATCGCATCCTACAGTTTCGTCAGCCGTGAACGGAGCAGAAGGATTGCGACGACCGTACGGCCGCCGTACGGTCGCCGCTGGCTGATGTCAGTGGCTTACGAGTGCATTGTCCGGAGATGCAATTACCACATAGCGCTGATACGGTGTCTGCACGGGCCACTAATGTACTCCGAATACTGCGGGCGCTGAATAATGACGGTATGCGTGGCGTAGCGGGGTTCACGCCAAGAGACAGGGGCAGGCCAGGCGGCACGGGCAGTGGTAATTCGTACAGGCGACATAGCATCTCTGCAAATCTTTGTCATCTTCAAGAGTAATTCTTACAATATCACCAATTTACACCAATGTGAGTGGAACATCACCAACGCGGCGAGACCGAACGACGTCGCTTGCATTGTTGTGTGATCTGTCTCATGGAGCTTGCTGAGGCGTGGTTTTGCGTCTTTGGCCTTCGCCGTGCCTTGCATGTCCTCTTTGGCAACTGTTTTGTTGTGTAAAAGGACGATGCGAAAGGACGATGCAAAAGGCCCTCTTCTTTTCTCCCCCTTCCTCTCCTTGTATGACCATATCCGCAACGCGATGGCACGTTGCTGGTTGTCAGTCTGTTGTATATCCTGCTGGAACAGAAATCGGTCTCCCTCGCGATGTGTGAGGCATTGACTTGAGCAACGACTTGTCACATCCTCTGCAACCTCAGTGTCTATGGTAGAACAGTGTACCGCGCTTGTCGTGTGCCTCTTCGCTGCTTTGAGCCTCGTCGTCAAAGTATCACAATACATGATTCTCACCGGACTGCTTCAATCGGCCGTCTGCCCGTCCTTTTCAACCGCACCCGCCCTCTCACTGTGCCGCTCATAGACACGTAGTCATGGCTGTGGTGTTTCCCATTGACTCTCGCATTTGTCCAACAGTGCGTTTCCGAGCAAATGCCGCCGCATCTCGCGAGTTCTCGATTGTTAACTCCAGACAAAAGAAGTGACGTTGGCGCGGACGGGGTTTATGGCACTTTTAGTGGATCGTTGACGCGACTCAGCGCATTTCCAGCGTGTTTAACACCTCTCCAGTGCTCGCTCGCCCCGGACTTATGCTCGCCAAGACACGGCGGGACATAAGCACATTCGCCCTGTCCCGTGCCGGCTCAGGAGTTAACGCTGTCGCTGTGACGGTGAACTACGACCTAATACGCTGTACGAATTACATTTGCTGCATTGCCTATGATGACTAACACTTTAAGGACCTTGATATCGATGAACGACCAAGAAGGCAATGGGGACTGCGATGGACCACGAAAGCTATAAATGGCGACATCGTCGTCGACTTGGATATTTCTTTTTAACCGTCTCTCATCGCCTTTCGATTAAACAAACACAATTCTCAGCGTCACTATTTTCTACAGTTTATTTTACCTCCTCATCGCCATAGCCGTCCTTCTTGAACATCAACATCTCACAATATGCCGCAGCTCGCTGGTAAACAAGTCGGCCCCATTGGCTACGGCCTGATGGGTAAGTCCCGCAACCCCGTGCGGCATGACTTACTCTGCCCTCTGCTAACGTCTCAGGCTTAACGCGGCCAGACAGCACGCTGTCCGACGACGAGAAGTTTGCCGCCATGCGCGCCGCCCTCGATGCCGGCGCCAACTTTTGGAACGGCGGCGAGTTTTACGGACCGGAGTCGGCCAACTCGCTCGTGCTGCTCGAAAAGTACTTTGCAAAGTACCCCGAAGACGCCGACCGCGTCGTCCTCAGCATCAAGGGCGGCATGGACAAGCCCAACACCTACACGCCCGACAGCCGCCGCGCCAACGTGCGCCGCTCCGTCCTCGACAGCGCCGCCCAGCTGCAGGGCCGCAAGGTCATGGACCTGTTCGAGGTCGGCCGCCACGACCGCGTCACGCCCTGGCCCACCACCGTCGCCGCCTTCCAGGAGCTCATCCAGGAGGGCGCCTTCCGGGCCATCTCGCTGTCCGAAGTGACCGCCGCCTCCGTCCACGCCGCCGTGGCCGCCGCCGCCTCCGTCGGCGCGCCCCCGATTGCCGCCTGCGAGGAGGAGCTGTCCCTGCTGACCGCCGACATCCTGACCGACGGCGTCGCCGCCGCCTGTGCCGCGCACAACATCCCCATCGTCGCCTACTCGCCCGTCGGCCGCGGCCTGCTGACCGGCCAGGTCCGCTCGCAGGCCGACCTGTACGGCGCCATGGCCCGCTTCCCCCGCTTCTCCGCCGACAACCTGCCCCAGAACCTGCAGCTCGTCGACGCGCTCGCCGCCTACGCCGCCCGCAAGGGCTGCACCCTGCCCCAGCTGGCCATCAACTGGGCGCGCTGCCAGTCGCTGCGGCCCGGCATGCCTGCCACCATCATCCCCATCCCCGGCGGCACCACGGTGGAGCGCGTGCGCGAGAACCTCAAAGTCGTCGACCTGACCATTGAGGACTTGGACGCGCTGGACGCCATTCGGGCCAAGCACGACGTCCAGGGTGGCCGCTACCCGGGCGGAATGCCAGGGAAGGCGTAGACGACCCGCGACCGGAGGAACAAAATGAGAAAGGAGAAATGGGACTCGAACGTGGGAGGGGAAGAGTGAGATGGAGGATCAGAGAGAATGTGAAAAAGAACGGAGAAACGACCACAGCTTATGAATCGCTACTCTACGCCAATTATATATTGCATAACTGCACACGCACGGCTACACAGCGAGACAACTGACAGCTTGGCTGGAGACATGCAGTGAGACGTGAGTGTCAGACGGGATGCAATGGCTCATCGGAAATCGGGAATCGGGTGGCTGCAGACGTCAGAACAAGTGCTGACAGCGACAGGGATCTTGGCGGAATTAGCCGCTACAGTTGAGACATGGCAGAAAATGGGAGGCAACATTACGGGGGTTGCACAACTTTGCATAATATTTAGCGACAGGAGAGAATATCGCGACAAGAACAATAGTTAATATCGACATATATCTACAATCACATATTGCAATGAGAGAAGATTCTGCAAATGAAAAACTTTTGTTCTCTGATTTAATCTATGGAAGAGGCGCGAAGGCAAACAAAATTAAGGCAAAAAGAATCCAGTTAGCATTTGTTGCAATTATTTGTATGGCGATACAGACGACTTACTTTTATCAAAAACAAAAACAAGCCCGCCTTGGTTCGCCGCCCGACCACCCTCTGAACCAAAGCGCCGAAGTTGTTGTGTTGTTGTGTTGTTGTGTTGTTGTGTTGTTGTGTCGTTCTCGAGATTGTCGAACAATGGGAGATGCTGGTGAAAATGGCCATGTTAGTGATGTGAACAAATATCAGGAGAAGATGGATGAAGGACTTGCATCTCCAAAGAAACCACCGCCCACCATTGGTTCGCCACCCAACCGCCCCTGAACCAATGTGTCGATGTGTCGATTCGTCGATTCGTCGATATGTAGCTGTGCTGTGTGCAGTTGTTGCTGTGTCAAAAAATACCGGAAGTCGAAGGCTCACCGCCCAGCCGCCCCCGAGCCAATGTGCTGCACTGCTCCTGAGAATGGTTAGTGAGAGAAGAAAAGTGCAAGAAAGAGAGGGTAGACTCACCATGCCTCCATCCGTGACTTGCCAGTCCCCATACCGCCAGGGCCCTTTCCTTTGTCCTCCATATCCAAATAGTATCCCCCTCTTTACCACGTCCTCCTCTTAATCCTTTCACGGTATAAAGCAGTGTAGCGTCATTGAGAGTCGTCGAGTGTCGTCGAGTATCGTCGAGTATCGTCGAGTGTCGTCGAGAAAGTCGTCGTCGGGTAATATTATTGTAAATCGAAAGTCTGTCAAAACAATGTTAGTGGAATGAAAACAGGAGATAAAATTGAAATTGAATAGGGAAATATACATGGTAAAGCATCGAAAAGTCAAACGTTGGCTATATGGTGGTAAGTTGTAGCCAATATCTGGAATGTAACAGATGTTAGTGAATTAAGAAAACGACAAGAAAGTAGAGACAAAACCAGGCAAAAGATAAACTTACCCGTTAAAACAAAAAGTCGTCGAAAAGCTGGCCCGCCACCCGACCACCCCTGGACCAGTTGTCGATGTTGTCGAGTGTTGTATAGAAGTGACCTATTGCCGATAAGTTGGGCCACTGTTGGAAATCCGGCTGTGCTGGTATGTTGTAGCCCTGGATTCGGTGAATTCATAAAGTGTTAGTAGTTCAAGAAAACAAGGCGGAGAGCTAGATACACAAGAGATGACTTACCTGTTGGAGAAGAAAAAAGTCGAAAGTCGAAGGCTCACCACCCAACCACCCCCGAGCCTATCCCCTGCCCAGCCAGATCCCCCTGCCCAACCAGAGCCCCCGAGAGCCAGTCCAGTCGTCGAGGTTCGAAAGTGGCGGAAAGTTGGCTCAGTCGTCGAGAAACCAAAGAGAAATCCTCGCCACTAAAAGAAAAAGAAGGTCAGTCGTCCCCGAAAATCCCGCTCCACAAGTGCCCACAAGAGGCCCCTGCTGTCCCCCATGAGTGTCTTCACTCGATCCCCTCGGTCGCACGGAAGATGGCCCAGTTGACAAAGGCCGTTGCACTCCCGATCGCTGGCGGGATGTAGTGTCTTGGGTTCGTCCATAAGGCAGAGAGAAGACCGCCCTCCCTGTAAAGACCCATTTGCCTTTTGCTCAAAGCAAATGAGGAATGCCCGGGTTAGCAAGCTCAGAAGACTTCTCCATTCTCCCAGCAAGTTGCCCAAGCCAGTGGTTATCAGACCAAGCACTCCTCTGCACTCGCAGGAGTCGTCTTCTCTTTACTGAAGGGAACCCCAGACCCTGAGGGCCTGGAGTTGTTGCAGTAAAGGAAGGCGTCCCAGGCAAAGCAGAGGAGACATTAGCAAGTAACACAAAAGGCCAAGGGCAGACAAGATGAAGAGTAGGAGAAGTTGCGTCCGATCTTACTTACCTCGGGAAACCAGACTCCGCAAAGGGCAAAAGGCGAAATGGATCTTTGGCGGGAGTCGGAATGCTCAACTGGCAAATGGGTGCGAACCTATAGATTTGCATCCCACTGCTCCAGTGCATCGTCAAGCAAAGCTTGCGATGCCCCCGGGGACCTGGGAAATGCAAAAGCCTTTATCATCTGTCCTCTTCTGTGCTGTTGGGGGAAGGAGAGAAGACACTCACAAGGAAAAGAGGCCCCTGTGGGCAAAGTGCGGACCGGGCTAACGGAGACGACTGCCTCCTTTTCTTTTGTGTACGAGGATTGTTCGCAGGGTTATGTGTTGAAGGGTCGGAAGTCGAAGGTCGAAGTCGAAAGTCGAGAGTCGAAAGTCGAGGGTCGAGAGTCGAGAGTCGAAAGCCGAGAGTCGAACGGTCGCTCCCACCCACCCACCTGGACCGTTGCTGGATTGTTGAATTGTGAATAGTCGAACTGCGAGCTGGCGAAAAGCCCATCGATCTGCCCTGCCGAATATATCGGTTGCGCTTCGTCCCTATGGATGAAATGAGATTGGTGAGAAGGCGGCAAAGACAAGAAAGAGCAGCAAACGGAATGATGGAAAAGAAACTCACAGCTCAGTTCAGATCGACTGCCGAATGTGATCCGCCTCGCGAACACCTCTCGCCCAGTTGTCGAAAGTTCAAAGGTCGAAACCGTCAACGGCACACCACCCACCCACCAGGCCGTTGTTGTTGGTGTCAAATGTCGATTTGTTATCTCGGTGTCGTTTTCAAAACTATCGGAACATAGTTAACCAAAGAAGAAAAAAGCGAAGAGACAAAACGGGAGAAAAGGAGGCAAACAGAATACATACTTTGGGGTCAATTAAGACTATCGTACTGATTCGACCACCCAGCCTCCCACTGAACCAGTTTGTCGTCGGGGTTGTCGTCGGGGTTGTCGTCGAGGTTGTCGTCGAGGTTGTCGTCGGGAAGTCGTCGGGAAGTCGTCGGGAAGTCGTCGAGGTCGTCTAGAAGTGAATAATGTTAGAAGTAGAAAAGTAGAAGCCATGAAAATTCAGAGAAATAAAATACTCACCGAGTCGAAAAGGTCGAAAGTCGAACGGCTCACCACCCAACCGCCCCCGAGCCGTTTAGCACCCCTGTTGAAGAAAACATTACATGATCAAGTCAAATTAGTAGCAGGTAGAAGAGAAAATGACAGCCATAGTCTGAGAAGGTGTGGTAGTAGGAGCCCAACTCGGGATCGCAAGCACAACAAAGAGTAAGAAAGTGGAAAAGGAGCACGATACAAAGCTCGAGACATGGCGACGAGGAGAGATGGGGGAAGGTGCCACTTGGAGAGACAAAGTCAAAAGCGTAATTAGAGATGTTGGGGCACGAGAGAAAATGGATTGACTATGTTAATTGAATTGGAAGATAACGAAGCAGAAGAAGAGAAGAGAGAAGAGAAAGGAATAAAAAAAATTGCACTGGTTGAAGGAGGAAAATGTACCAAACTGTTTGTTGAGTAAAAACGGAAGGAGCGATGATAGATGTTGACACAAAAGGAAGGAACGCTTGGTAGCTTGCCAAAACACGAAAAAAGAACAAAACAGTCAACAATAAAAGGGTCAAGGCGTAAGAAACAAAGAAAGACACTCGAAAGACCACTGGTCAACAGTATAAGAAGGAGGAAGCGTTGATGTAAATGGGAGATATATAAGCAAACGTAGTTGAATTGCAAAGACAAATGGAAGACTGGAGAGAAAAGGAGACAAGTCCGATGTCAAAAGGAACGAGGAGAGACTCGACAGGAGAGAGATGGCGCTTGCCAAACAGTGTGATATTGATTGAAGTGCGTTGCTATGTAATATGAAAGGAGCAGAAGCGAGACGGTAGAGGATTGCATGAGTCGAAGCGTGATGGGCAGCGAAGGAAGAAAAGACCACTAGGACCGAGGAGGAAGACGAAAATAAAGAAGCGTTGGACAAGAAGATAAAGAGAAGAACGAAGAGAAAAGAGAAGATGGAAGAGAGTACCACTGGGTGATAAGACATAGAAGTAGAAATACAAGATGGTGAACGTCGAGGAAGTCGAGAGAAAGGATGGAAGGATGCAAGATGAAGTAGAGGTAGATGAAGAAGAAGATTAGATGGAGTAGGAAAGTAGGAGATGGAAGAAGCTGGAGATGATGGGCAGATCTGAAGAAGAAAAAAAAGAAGGAGAAGAGACTTTGCAGAGTTGGGTGGGAGAGAGGAGATATATATACTGCTGGAGGGAGGGGGGGAGCAGCTGATCCGTGCGAGCGTGCAAAAATGACTGCAGCAGGCGGTGTCAAAAATGGTACCACTCTCCGCTTGCGCGGACGAATAGAAAAAAAGAACACAATGGCGTTTATTTTTGTAGAGTGAATGTAGACAGAGAGAGACAGAATCAGCAAGAACAAACAATGGGCGTGGGTGCACAAGCTGCACGATGTGGGCCGCGATGACGGCATGTCGAGGCCTTACGTCCCAAACGGGATGCGTGAATAGACTGATTTGATCCAAAAGGAGAAGTGCCAAGAGAAGAGCGAGGCCTCGCTTTTTTGTTGCGTCCAGGACACTTGCTCGTTCCAGGTTCGCT